TCAGACACCAAGAGTTAAACATTCGACGCGTGTACTTCCGGCTTTCTTCCGTGCACAGAGAAGGAGTAGGCGTCGCCTTTTCTGTCTCCATCAGTTATCCCTATCACTTATTAAACCGACCACAGTCAGCTCAGCAATAACCCAGGTTAGCAGCATGTATTCGTTTCTTTATTGAAGACACTACTTTAACCACATTTTATTTCAGTTGTTGTTTTCGCCATTCTTTTCCCACCAATAAATCGTTTTTCTTGGGAGTGAATCATCAATGAATCACAATGAATGGTTATTGGTTGTCTTTCGTTTGTTTCCAATTTGGGCAGAATTGAAATTACCCAAAGTTTTAATAAAGAAACGTTGGTTTTTTAGTATATTTACTTTTAGTGTAACTGTATGGATTCTGAAACTGGATTATATATATGTAGTGAATATGAAACAATTAGATAGTGACTTTATTTTTGTTCCGGGACACGCAGGCGTCGATGGAAATGAAAGAGCTGACAGATTGGCTGGATCCGCTATCACTACCGACGGTCGGCCTATGGATCATGCTGATATTATCAATGCCCTCAGAGAAATGGGAAGGATAGAGGACTTTGGTGGCAGTGAATCCACATCACTCGCCAGAATGGCAGACTTGGGAATTAAGATCGGCACAGCAAAAAACGAGACGCACACCAGACACGCCAGAAGACTTGTTAATCAACATAGAACTGGTACTATTAGCCATCGGACGTTGGGTTTCATACTGAGGGGAGGATCTGAGCACCTATGGACATGTCCAGAGTGCAATGATGATAACCCAACTAACTAACTAACTAACTAGATAGTGACTTTGAAGTAGGATACTAGCAGGACGTGATCACATTTTAAATTGTTTTAGTAAATAGATTTTGAAAAATAGGCTGTCCTCCGAATAACGGTCCTAAATTATCTACGCAGAAAATGAACCTGAACAGAGCCTCATTACGTCATGCCCTACAAAGATTTAAAAGTTGTAACTCGGAAAGTATAAGGAACAAATAGTATGAGGAAAAGGGGGAAGTCTACTACTTACTGATAATTAAATCCTTTATATGTGAAAATTGTGGCACAGAAGTTGCAAATAGTGTTGGAATATCTTGCTGTGCCGCCTTTGGAACTCTGCTAAATATAGCGTGGTCGTAAACGCCATGCTTTAATTTCCCAATGTTGCTCTAGCCTCGCTGAGCGTCAGTCACAATTATTGTTCCGGGCAACACGTGATCAGCAATGACGCATTCTAATGTACGCGCATCTCGCCTCGGGACAACTTCAAACCAGCAGCGCCCACTATGGCGCTCCTCTAGCCCGACAACCCAGTGACCGTGGCGAATGCGACCACGCCTGTACTTGCGACGGAAGAAATAGCTCATTTAAATTGTAAGACTTTTTTCCGGCGACCATAGTGCCACCTCCGAAAGTATCCCCCATGCCGCTACGCGCGGCGCGGAAGGGGTTAAACTAAATGGCTAGGACTCACGAGCAAATACAATGGAAGAAGCTGCAGGAGAAGCGGTAGCTGCTGCTCGTGAGTCCCAGCCATCTAGTTTAGCGGCGCAGGGGATACCCTCTAAGGTGGCACTATAGTCGCCGGAAAGTGGTCCGCAACTTACATATAACTGAGGCCCTGCCGTAGGATAGCCCTATCGGGTGTATTCTTGCTTTTCGCTAATTTTTCGTCCGTAGTTAATCCTAGTTTTGCAGCCGTTTAATCGTCGTAAAGAAAGTCTGTTGCGTTTCGCGAAAATTTCATGCACAATTAATCCTACTTTTGACACGGTTGATTCGCTGCAAATGAAATGCGAATTTTAGATATGACTGAGGCTCTGTTAGGGCTCATTTTCTGCTTAGATAATTTAGGACCATTATTCGGAGGATAGCCGAAAAATACAAAATTGCTGATGTCAAGTCAGTAGTGCTGAAACTCAGCGCAGGGGGGAAGGTGTTAGTACTGTCAGTGGGTAAATAGGCACTTGCTGCCCTCCACCACCCTTACCATGTATCGAAGTTATCTTTTAAAGGATTTTTTAAGTATTACTTTTGATAGTTTTTAAATATTATTTGTTATCATTGTTCAGTACTTGTTATTATTACTTGCTTAAACAAAGCTTGAGCCCCTCCACAGTATTTTCTTGGCTATCTTCCAAATAACGGTCCCAAATTATCGAGGCCAAAAATATCCCCTAACAGGGCCTGAGTCACATATAAATTGCCGACTTCCACCACCGCCTAGAGTATGTCCCATGCCACTATGCGCATAGTAGATTGGGGCTAAACTAGATGGCTAGGACTCACAAGCAAATAAAATGAAGGAAGATGCGATAGCTGCTGCTTGTGAGTCCCAGCCGTCTCGTTTAGCCCCAATATACGCCGCGAGTAGCAGCGTGGGAGATACTCTTGGTGGTGGCGGTAGTTGCCGGAAGTGCACAATTCAAGTCGCCGAAAGTCCACAGTTTATATCTAAGGCCCTCTTAGGGTATATTTTTGGCCTCGATATTTTGGGATCGTTATTCAGAAGATAGCCCAAGTTTGTTCCTGAAGTGCAAAAAATGTGAATTCAGATGCAGCATTGCTTACTCAGTATGTTGCCCCATCACCACAAAATAAACCAATGACAACAGAAAATAGGTTAATTAAAAATAAGTAGCCCTAGCTAAGGGTACTTTGATATATAGTTTACATTACAAGAACGGTTATTGCTATTTAAGATAGACACCAATATGGCAGAATAAATAAAATAATAATTGTAGTCACTTAAAAAAAACACGGGTATTGATGAAGATGGCGAAAGGGTAGTTGAATAACACATTTTAAATATCAAAACTGCCTGATAGAGATTTTAATTTAATTTACACATCATTAAATAAGTAAAGTAAAGATCCCTTTGGACGCATCATGCATATGGGAAGAAAACTCCCCACTGCATAACTCTCACCAGACTGTGGTGATCTGTTATGCTCCTCCAAATTATTCACATTCTCCCATAATGCCTTGACCACATCTGCCTTATCATGCATCAATATTCCACTAAGTTGTGCAGAGCCAGCCAGTCTGTCCACCTCTTCATCTCCCAACACACCGGCATGCCTCAGAGAAAAGATCCTGACAGTGCTTCTCACCCATGAGCTCCGAAGTGAAGCTTGCCTTTCTGCACAAAGCATGCCTGTCCTCACCTTCCTGAGCATGCTTTCTGAGTCAGTTACAATCACGATGTGTGTGCGTAAGTACAAACAATCTCTGGTGATGCACGGACAACACATGATCTCTAAAATACTGCTCTGGCTTTTTGCTGTGAAGAACTTCCCTGGCTTTCATTGATCTAAGAAATAAATCAAGAGACAGCAGCTGTAAGTCCTTGTCAGTTGGTGTAGTTGAGGGCAGCATGGACTCTTTTGGGAGATACTTTTGAATGTGACTGGCAGACTGACAGCTGAGACAGAAATAGGAATATCTTCATCAGAGAACAGCTCTTTTTCAGATAATGCTGCAATTATGACCCACTCAGAGGAGAAATTTTAATGTTTACTAACTGCATTCCCTTATGCCCATTGTGAACTCGTCCCTATCTGGACGAAGAAAGGCAGCAAAAGCGGCTGCCTCGCATATGCATAAATATCAACATGGTGCCACATTGAGAAGCTTTTCTGGTAAACAGACTCCCACTTTTTTAAGCTTGGCTAGGTGAATCGCAAATTGTTTTCAGAAGAATCAAAAGTTGTACAAATGATAACACTGTGACAGGTATTAGAACAAACAGCACAATATAGATAACACACTATTTCTTGCATACATAGATCAAGAAAGAGCATTAGACTGTGAAAGTTAATTTTATACATGCTGTAACTACAGTGGTCCTAAAATTATATGTTTGTATTGTGGAACGTGAGCAGGTCTTGCTAGTCACACCTGCCATGGCCATAGGCTGGGATTCCTATGCCTCCTTATGTTGCGTTGAGTTGAGTCAAGAATTGACATCGCAGCACTCAGGGTATTCCCATATGCGCTCCGTCCCTATCTTTAGCAGCCAGGGCAGAGTACCTGTATTAATAGTACCGGTCATAGTCTGGTTATATGTCCGCCTTGCCTTACCCCTGAGTGTAGTGAGCCAGCCAGGCCATAATAATATCAATCTTCTCTTCTGACTTCATCTCTTGTTCCCAAAGGCACAGTATACCACTAGTATTTGCAAGACTTGAAAAAAGCAAACAAAATAGAAAAAAAGTATGACTGTAATTATACACCTTTAGAAGAATGGATTCAAAGGGTGGGGGAAGACTAAGAAGCAAATGGACTGACTTCTGTGTGACCTTAACAGCAACAGTGACACATTCACCAGCACAACACCATGTGACAAGAAGCAGCTCTCCTACTGGTTGGACAGTGTTTAGACAAGACAATATCAAAGTTTGTCTGATCATCCCCCTCCTCCCCCCAATTCCCCCACAGCGTAGCTCTGTGGCTTATTAACAGTATGCCCTGATGTAGAAGAAGGATGACAAAAAGAATGAAATATACTGGGACAAAAAGTACCGCAAAAGCATGTGTATAGTAAGTAGTACAGTACCGCATCAAAAAGTAAAAGTAAATGACCATTCTCCGTGCCTTCAGGCTTGTTGGGCATATAGGGCTAAGCTTATATTTAATAACCAGTCAACACTTGGTGGGTGATATGGTCAACCTCATGCAGCCACCTTTACTTCCCAGGACTGCACCTGGTACCCACTCAAGGCTGGGTCAACCTCGGAGCCAAGGTCATTTTTGAAGACAGCCGGATCCGTCAGGAGCTGAACCTACGACCTTTCCATCCACATAATTCAGCATTACGTTTGCACAAAATAACCTTTTAGCAAACATGGCTTGAGTTGGTTGAGGGCGTTTGATGCATTAGAGAATAATAAGTAGAAGGAGAAGAAATATAATGTTCATATCATAGATGCACTTATTATTTACGTACTTTTTAAAAATCTATTAACAGAATTACAATGAATGTGGATCATGAGGTTGAACTCCTTGTCAGAGAGATAAAGCGACTTGGGAAGGAAGGTAAGAATGTTTTGATTAATTCAAAACAACAGAAAATGATTAAAGAGGTCTTATTCATCAATTAATTATTTAATGTCCCAGTGGAAACCTTTAGACTTTCTGAATATATTCTGGTATATTTTAGTTTTGCCTTATGTATCTGGGCTCTTAAGGAAATTGAAAAAATATGAATATTAACTCTTTCACCCTGAGAATACTTTAAAACAAGTTCATGACCCCATTAGAATTGTAGAAATAATCTGTAAAAACTGCAACAGTTTTTATACAGGCCACTAATAAATTCATTAAAATTGTATTTATCTACATCTTAAAATTATTTTTATATAAACATATATGTAAGAACTAATCAATAAACACGAACACAATGAAGCATTAAATGGAATACATCCCTAAGGGCCTAAAAACACGCATGCATCGAGTAACTCATGCTGTAACCCAATTACCTCTTGCACTAAAGCTTACGGGGGGAACTGTGACATCAATCCTCCCCCCCCCCCCCCCCCCCCCCTGGCAGTTCTGTTGTTATTTATTGTAGTCATGTCTTGACTCAGGAAAGGCTAACCTGGTCAACATATGCTTTATAAATTTGGATGTGTCGGCTGAAAGTCATAAATATCGCAGCCATGCTGCAAACGGGCACAGGGCAGCTACATCTTCGGATACAGAAGAAGTAAAAAAAAGATATCCTGACTTCTTAAACATTGCGTAAGCATGAACACAGCCAATAGCATTAACTTTACATCTTGTGAAAAAGTCACTATAGACAAGTCAGAAAGGTCACATTTACGGGGAAGTGTAGTCAACCGGAAATGTCAGATTTTATTTTTGGCTTCTCAGGACAAAAGAATTAAAAGGCGTGAAATATTTATCAAATCTGTACTGGAAGGAAAAGTCGAAAGCAAGCAGGCAAGAGGTGAACAGTAATATAAATGAAAGGACCATATTAAAAGAAAGACAAATAGCAGTCTTGGAGTGTGCAGCTGGAGTATGAAAGTACTGGAGCTAGTTGCAGCCAGCCCTAATTGTTGACACAGCACCTGATTCAGCCTGCCATGCTCCCTGTGAGGGGTCTGGGGCCCTCTTTTGACCCTCGCCCCTGCACAAGACAGCTAATTAGGAGAGTTTGCTTGAAAGTCGGAGTCCATCTGCATGAGGGGCAAGGAATCAACAGTATGCACACAAATAAGCCAAATATGTAAAATGTATGTGCACGCAAAACTCAGCTTCTGGGACAGGACTAAAGTCCTAAAATGGTCAAACAACCAGAACTTTCCACAGCATTTACAACCGGTGAATGTGAAGAAGAGGAAAAAGAACATGTCATTTGCATTGTTAGATTTGATACATTAGAAAAATTTCTAACTACTACACACATTTTTCCTTCTCCAGGAGCGAATGGCAAATATTCTGTAACATTTGGAGTTCTCTTCAATGATGATCAGTGTGCCAACATATTTGAAGCTCTAGTCGGGACCCTCCGTGCTGCCAAACGAAAGAAGATTCTGTCATATGATGGAGAGCTACTTCTGCAAGGCGTGCATGACAATGTAGTTGTTTCACTACTTTGATTCTCATACTCTATATAGTAGACTGTCTTACATTAGTGAGTGTGCTTTTTTAAAGAGGCTTCTTATTTCTGTGTGGGGATTTCGGCTGTTAAATGTATTGTTGCCACCATGAGCCTCGGAGAGCCAAGCCGGAGAAATGTAATGGACACAAAACCATGCAGAACGTGAAACGACTGCATAAAAAACAGCTAAAGGAAATGAAGACCAACTTATACAACACAACTGAAAAAGCACACAGAAGTTTCTTAGTTCTTCCTCCCAAAACTTCGATGAAGTAACTGTTTTTACTTCCCTTTAGGAACATAAGACTTTTTGTATACACTAATGCAAAAAAAAAGTATGTTTTGAAAATTGCTTTTATTTCTGTGTGTCAGTTTCAATGACCATGTTGAAGATTGCCATGAATAGTTCATTAAGTGCTGCCAGTGTGACTTTGAGGGTTATGAACCCAGTTTCATAATTCTGACATACATGGTTTTTATTTCAGTTGCAGTTTGGCAACAGACCATTTTGCGTTGATTTTGAGATAAGAATGAGCATCGGTCCATCCAGAAAACAATGTTGAATGTTGTTGCTAGCAAAACCATAAATAGCCAACAGAAGCTGGAGTTTGTAATGTCCTTAGAGAATATCTTCTCCTTCATGTTCTCCGGCTGTAAACTTTGGCGGAAAGTTCTGGTTTTTTACCCACTTCTGGACTTTAGTCTTGTTCCAGAACTGTAGTTTTGCATGCACAGCTGTTTGACAGATCTGGCTTATATGCAGGCTCTTGGCTCCTCGTCTCTCAGAGAGATGCACTCCGACTTCAAATAAAACCCTTACTTAGCCGCCCGTCAGGGGCTAGTCTAGCCACTTCATCACCTTGGTGCTGGTTTGTAATGCACGTTTGAAAAATTGCTAAATTTTCATGTCTGAATTTAGTCTGTAATGTTTTCTTTAACGTATGTATGAAATGTTGTCACTATCAATTTAGACTGTATTGTTTACCATAATGTATGCTTTAAATGCTTTCACAGATCACTTCTGTGAATGTAGGCTGTAGTTTTTTCCGTAATGTATGCTTCAAATGTTGTCACAGATCTCTTGTGTGAATTAGGTCATAATGTTTCCACTGGTCTCATGTGTGAATTTGAATTGTAGTATTTCCAGTAATGTACTTTTGAAATGGTTCTGAACTTCTTGTGTCATTTTGTGGTATTGGCTGAATCAGAGTGTCTCTGAAGTAGATTGAACATGTTTCATTCCTTGTGAATTTGTCATGGCCAGCATAATAAAACAGTGTACAGAAGTTTGCCAAAAGTAAAAAATTATTTCTATAACTTATCCCTGTATCCTAGTTTGGATATATAGGACTATTGAACAATTCTAATTTTTCTTCTCCCCCTGTTGGTTTTTCTTCTTTTTCATAATTTTTTGCCTTTCTTTGTTTTGTATCTCTTGGATGCACTGGATGTGTTTTTTGAACTTCTTGGCAATACCTATAGAGTTTAAAGTTTCTATGATTTTCTGCAGACCCATAAACTTGGCATAATAACAACATTTTTTAGCATGTTTTGAAAACTAAACATCAAAGCTCATGACAAATGCCAGGCTTTTTGAGAAAAAAAAAAAAAAAAAAAACATTTTTCTGTTCTCTACATGCTTGCCATTTTGCTGAAAAAGAATAGTGGAAAGACTAAAAAGTAATTTAAATTGCCTGGTCATGTGACGTTATCGTGGTATGGGACGTCGCAGGTCGACCCAGCCTAAAATGGGTACCAGGATGGGCTGTCCTGGGAAAGTGAAGACAGCCGGCGTAATGCTGACCACATTACGCACAGAGTGCTGATGGTCTGTAAAAATATGGGACGCTCTGCCCATATGCCCGATGCGCCGAAAGGCGTGAAAAGGGATCTTTACTTTATTTTACTATGTGGCGTTAGCTCACAAACCTATCTGTTCTGGGTGATCATGTGAAATGGAAAACCATAATGACTAATATTTTTTGGAATGGCACATGATGATGGTATCCTGTAGTTGGTGTTATTGTGGGATTTACAAGTAAATGACGACATGTTTACTGTTTGCACATTTTACTTTACTTAGTTTTTTTTTCTTTTTTCTGACAGATTAGTTTTTGCACATTAGTATTTGATGCTTATGTTTACTGATGTTACAATGTGCCTATGTTACAATGTGTATCTAATGACAGCATTACGTGTGTGAGTCCATGTTGTTACAACAACTTATTCACTACATCAGTGATTCCTAATGATGTCAGACCTGCTGACCCTTTCATTTCTGGGCCCCATATCTTCTAATGATCATATTAAAAGCATATTTTAAAAAAGTTAAGAGTAAATTCATACCATCCTTAAAGATATGGATAAATGGCGTAGTTAAAACCTGCAGAAGAGTAATTAAATACATCACCCAAGCCACCTGAGAAGAGCAAGAGAAATAAGGAAAACCTGACACTACGCTACAATCAGGTATAGGTAAGATGACAAAGAATAATAACAGTTACATAGGCCCCTTAAATGTGTACAGTAAACCTCAAAATGGGAAAGATTGCATTACATAATTCAAGCTGTGTGATAGCACGGTCTCACACACCAGTCAGTATAGTTCTTAATGTTAATGAGTTTATGTTAATGAGGGTTGATGCTTATTTGGTGTCTTCTATTTTATTACTGACAAAATTGTATGAATTATATTGTTGTAACTAAAACTTTTGTAAGCTTAAATATCAAAATATATACTCTTTTGCTGATGTAAACTGTTTTGTGCAATGAGTATTAATTTAAAACAGTTAATTAGGAACTTAAAAAATTCTTATGAATTTATGACTCTGGGGTATCTCCGTGTCTTATAACACACTGTGATATAAATCTCTTCCTGTTTCGTTGTCATTGTCCACTTTTTGAGGGACATAATTATTTCCCAGTGATGCATCTCTTAACTCAGAAAAGAATGTTTCTATCATGCGAATGTACCAGGTTTTCTCCCTGCAGGCAGATCGTCGTCTTCTTCCTCTTCTTCCTGGAGTTCACTGGCTGTAAACTTTGATCAAAAATCCTGGTTGTCAATCCACTTCTGGACTTTGGCCTTGTTTCAGGACATGGCTATTGCTTGCATTTCCATTGTAACATTGTGCAGTCTATTGTTTGTGTTTTCTTTGTTCAAATTTCCATTATAACATTGTGCAGTCTGTTGTTTGTGTCTTCTTTGTTCAAATTTCCATTACAACATTGTGCAGTCTGTTGTTTGTGTCTTCTTTGTTCAGATTTCCATTACAACATTGTGCAGTCTGTTGTTTGTGTTTTCTTTGTTCAAATTTCCATTACAACATTGTGCAATCTGTTGTTTGTGTCTTCTTTGTTCAAATTTCCATTACAACATTGTGCAGTCTGTTGTTTGTGTCTTCTTTGTTCAAATTTCCATTCCAACATTGTGCAGTCTGTTGTTTGTGTCTTCTTTGTTCAAATTTCCATTACAACATTGTGCAGTCTGTTGTTTGTGTCTTCTTTGTTCAAATTTCCATTCCAACATTGTGCAGTCTGTTGTTTGTGTCTTCTTTGTTCAAATTTCCATTACAACATTGTGCAGTCTGTTGTTTGTGTCTTCTTTGTTCAAATTTTCATTACAACATTGTGCAGTCTGTTGTTTGTGTCTTCTTTGTTCAAATTTCCATTACAACATTGTGCAGTCTGTTGTTTGTGTCTTCTTTGTTCAAATTTCCATTACAACATTGTGCAGTCTGTTGATTGTGTCTTCTTTGTTCAAATTTTCATTACAACATTGTGCAGTCTGTTGTTTGTGTCATCTTTGTTCAAATTTCCATTACAACATTGTGCAGTCTGTTGTTTGTGTCTTCTTTGTTCAAATTTCCATTGTACAGATCTGGCTTATTTATGTGTGCAGACTGTGGGTTCCTTGCTTCTCAGGCAAATCGACTTCGAAGGAAATGTCAATCATATCTACGTTGGCCAGGACCCTGGTTGGGAACCTGTTTTCTCAGATGATCACGAAGAAGTCTACATAGGTCTTAACCAATATGAGCCCAGGACCTAGTTAGTGCAGCACCATGAATTATTCAGCACTACCACATCCTGGATTTCATCCAAGGTCAAGAATTCAAGAACAATACCACCTAAAAAACACGCCTAACAAAAAAAAAACAAAAAAACTGAATAAATTTCTGAATGTGTATAAATGATAGACTGCTTTTCGTGAAAGTTTGTGGAGCTCTGAAGACTGTAATATCGCACCTGGCCTTCCACAGGGGCCCGCCATTTTCCCTGTGCTTTTCAGTGTGTACACAAGCAGGATAGCGACAGAGGCTACTGGAAGAGTTCCGACTTTTGCTGACAATGTTTTAGTCTACAGACAGGGTAGAAACAAAATGGAAATGTCTCTAGAACACAGTAGAGAAGGTAGGGAAGTGATTTGAAGAAAAAGGTTCAGTCATTAATCCAAGTAAGGCAGCTGTATTGTGGTGTTTATTGAAAAAATAAAATTGTTAGAGATGAGGTTCCAAACATCAAATAAATCGTAGTATCTTGGTATAACCTTTGACAGGAGCCTGTCATTCAAATACCACATGGAAGAGCTAGTGTTGAAGATAAGGAAAGGACTCATTGCGTTGAAGGGATGGTATCAAGAGACATGGAACAGAGAATGCTCTACACACTCTACCATATTATTTTGATGATGACGTATGGTGTGGGCCAGCTCATTTTATGTAACAGCCAAGCAGAGAAGCTTGAACTCATGCAGAATGAAGCCATGTAGTCAATTTGAGATGTATACAGGACACGCCAGTCATGTGTATACAGCACATACTTGGATTACTGTCTGTATATGAAAGATGCAAGGTGTTAAAGACGCAAATTTACCTTAAAGTCTAAGCCGAAAGTGAACACCTTCTAGATGAGGCCTTGGAGGATAGCAAGGGTCATCGGCTAAAAAGATGTAGCTTTCGGATGACACAGACAGAAGTCGCAATCAGCAATGTTTGT